TCCCAGACATTTTGGGAAGCCCATCAGACCTGTCAGCCGATTGAAGAGAATACGCTCATATGCAGCACTAAAATTAGTGTTCTTCTGTCTTGCCTTTTAAATCCCAGTGGGAAAAGGAAGACTGTCAATGTAGGGAATGTGTAAAATGGTATTTGAAGTGAGCAGGAACAGCAGAGTGCTGCTCTGCAGCAGCTTTGAGATGGGAAAAGGGATTGATGGTGCTTTGTGGGAAGATTCAGAACATGAACGTTTTTCATGTCTTATGTGAGGGTCTGTCCCGTGTGTACACACAGCTCAGGTGATGCTCTCACTGCTGTGCTCTGTTAACTTGAAATTCAGTTGTAAAGAAACTGAGTTTCTGATACAACTCAGATGACTCTAAAATTGGCCCAAGTGCTGCTTGTAAATGGGCACACTTTGGTTTCCTTGAGCATAAGGTCAATTCAGAGTTACGTATCTTGTTCCTCTTCACTAAATATATGTAGGTAACTGAAGTACACACTTTCTACAAGGCTTTTTCCCCATCAAGCAGAACTCAAACTCCATGATTTTCTTCTTACAGTGCTGCAGTGCTAAACTTCTTTTGCTAGATAAGCTCAAAGCCTTCATACAACAGCAAAATGGTCTAGACCATAGAGGAGTGATCCTTTAGTGGAGGAATCACAGCAAAGGCTCTGCAGCAGAGGCAGGAAAACTCAGTCAAGGGATTTTATATGGCAGATGCAGGAACCCAGTGGGCCCAGGCAGCCTTTTGGTGTTCCTTTGCACATGAAAAGGCCAAGCATGCTTTGTAGCTGTAATAGTTATTGTGCTGTGGGTCTAGTGAGGGAATGGCTTTCTATCTCTCGGAGGTCTAGTGATAGGAGGGCTCTCAGGGTTGGGGAAGGTTTGCTTGTAGAAGTCTCTCCCTGGCTTGGCTGAAGTAATCTTTGAGCTGTATGGCGAGGAGGATGTGGCTTCACTCCTCTTCCAAGCAGTCTCTATTTGAACTGTAATTTGAGCTACTACTCACTATTGCTGTGTATTCTGCAGTGTGCTGCACAGGACAGCTACCAGCTAAGAGTATATTTAAAACACAGCTTTTGCCACCTGATCTTCTCCCAGGTTTGCAAATGCCTTCAGAATTCTCTTTTTTGGGGGGGAAGGCTTTCTTTGTGTGTACCCAAGTTAAGCTCCTCAAGCTCCTCTGTCCAAACTATAGTTGGGACAAGATCATAGAATCATGGAATGGTTTGGGTTGGAAGGGACCTTAATATCATCCAGTTCCAACCCCCTTCCAACACCTTCTGCTAGACCAGGCTCCTCCAAGCCCCATCCAACCTGACCTTGAACAGGTTGTAGTCACTATGGGGTGTGTGTAATCAACAACAGAACTCTTCTTACCATCCTTTGCTTCACATCCTGCAGCAGCAGAGCATGTCGTGGGCAGTTGCTTTAGGGTCATGAGGAAGCTTAAAGCATTTCAGTTGTCTCAGCATGCATTAGGGTTATGGTTTGTCACTGTGTGATTACTGATAACCTGTGTGTTGTGTTCCAGGTGGTGGAAATGCCAGCATTCCTGGGATTGAGAGGATGGCACCTGGCATTGATCGTATGGGCGCAGGAATAGAAAGAATCCCTTCCGGGATGGGGCATGGGATGGAGAGAGTAGGCTCAGAAATGGACAGGATGGGGCTTGTTTTAGATCGCATGGGCTCCAACGTGGAGAGGATGGGGTCAGGAATTGACCGAATGGCCCCTCTAGGCATAGATCACATTGCTCCTAACATCGAGAGGATGGGCCCAGCTATTGAGAGGATGGGATCTGGCATGGAACGGATGGGCTCTGGCATAGGCTTTGGCATCGAGAGGATGGGGGCTGGCATCGACCGCGTTGGCACCGCTATGGACAGAATGGGATCAGGCGTAGAACGGATGGGCTCTGGCATGGATAGAATGGGTATAGGCATCGAGCGTATGGTCCCTGCTGGAATGGGAACTGGAATGGGTCAGGTGATAGAGAGGATGCCAGCCGGTTTGGATCGCATAGGTGCTGCTCCTATGGAAAGAATAGGAATAGATCGTATGGGAGCTGCTGGCATGGAGAGGATGGGCTTGGAGCGCATTGGAGCCACTAATATGGAGAGGATGGGCCCTGCGATGGGGCAGGGCATGGGAGCAGGCATAGAGCGAATGGGACTGCCCATGGGAAGCAATTTTGAGAGAACAATGGACATGGAACGTGGAAACTTTGCAGGCAACTTTGCAGGCTCCCTTGGAGGAACTGGAGGACCTGCACCTGGGGTGGCCAGGAAAGCGTGTCAGATATTTGTGAGAAACGTGAGTAGCCCCTTTCCTACCTGTCCTTCACTCATCGTGCAATTGATCAGTACTGACACGTGCATCTCTGTGCTCCAGTCACAACATCCAGTACTGACTGCAGCCAGAGGGGCAGTTCAAGCTGTTGTGAGCTGAAGCCATTTCCTTAATGGGACCAGAGCTAAGTCCCGGGATGGAAAACGTGTTCTGAAGAGCTGGCAGTGCCTGCAAGCTGTTCAGGAGCTCCTCAGTAATGGTCTGTTCTTCTCTTTTCACAGCTGCCTTTTGATTTTACATGGAAAATGCTGAAAGATAAATTTAATGAATGTGGTAAGTTATTTTATTGCTGGTTGTCACTCTGGAATAGGAATTAAACAGCAGTTCCTGGCTCTCTGTGTCCCCAACACCAGTATCTTGAACTGAAGTTTCACTCAGACTTACTGAAATGCTACATCTTAACATTTGTCAAGCCATGTGAGGATGTCTGTTCTGAGTGTTGGGAAGCAATTGATGATCCATTAACACCCTCCTTTCTCTAAGTATTGGTGCCCTTCTCCATCTTGGGCTTGTTTATCATGCAGACAGCCTCTTTGTGGGTGCTCCATTCACCTGCTGCTGCTGGAGTGAGAATCAAGAGAAACACTTTGAATTAATTCATCTCTTAAACCAAGCATGCTCCTTTAAAACAGCAGTTTGGGAAAGCTGTCCTGCAGCCTGAAGTTCTAAACCATAGACTCATGAAATCCTAGACTGCTTTGGGTGGAAGGGACCTTAAAGCTCATCCAGTCCCAACCCCCTACCACTTGCAGGGACCCCTTCCCCTAGAGCAGCTTGCTCCAAGCCCCTGTGTCCAACCTGGCCTTGAACACTGCCAGGGATGGGGCAGCCACAGCTTCTCTGGGCACCCTGTGCCAGCGCCTCAGCACCCTCACAGGGAAGAGCTTCTGCCTAAGATCTAACGTGAACTTCCCCTGTTCAGTTTGACCCCATCACCCCTTGTCCTATTGCTCCAGCCCCTGATGACGAGTCCCCTCCAGCATCCCCGTAGCCTCCTTCAGACACCAGAATCGACCACTGGGCACGCTTAAAGGTAGAGAAGGTTCAACAAACCCCTTCTGTTCTCCTCCCCAGGCCACGTGCTGTACGCTGACATCAAGATGGAGAATGGGAAGTCCAAAGGCTGTGGGGTGGTGAGGTTTGAGTCCCCGGAGGTGGCCGAGCGCGCCTGCCGCATGATGAACGGAATCCAGCTCCGGGGCAGGGAGATTGACGTGCGAATCGACAGGAATGCTTAAGCAGGAATTGCCTTTTTAACACTGCTTCCACACTTTTGGAATTTGTACTTTTTTTTTTTTTTTCCTTGTTAACCATTTTAATTTGACTGGATGTAAAGGTGTTTAAAAAAGAAAAGATTCAGTTGCTTTCTTGGAGTAATTTTAATTACTTTTTTAACGAATGGATTTCCATTTTACTGGGTTTTTGCATTGGAACTGCAACGTGCACAATCTTTTTTTGTAGTTGTGGCATCTCGTTGACATTACAGATGTAAACAGTAATGACTTTGATAATAAATGAAACTCAAGATTTCAGACGCAGCATCTGGTCCTGGCAGCACCTCCTCTGCTTGCAAAGCTCTCTGTAACTTCAGTAAACTAGAACTTGTGTCCTGTGAAGTGTCAAGAAAGACTGTTCCTCGCCATTGCGTCTTTAACATGATGCACATTGGTGTTGGGGTTTGGATGGCTTTGGTGTGCAGGGGACCTCCCTGTCCTGTGTTCAGACCTAAGCAATACCCACTCTTGGTGCAAGGCTGGTACTTTCATTTTGCTCCAGTGGCACTGCTCATTTCAAAGCAAAAGGAACAATAAATACATATCCTCTACCTTCAGGTGTGTCAGTGCCATTCTGAAGGCCTGAACTGAAAAGGGATTTAAAAGAGCTCCTTATAGTGGAGGTTTCCAGGTCCCAGGCAGGGTGAGGTGCAGCAGGGGAAAGGCAGAAGGTGGAATATTTCACCACCTGCAACAAACATGTTTTTAACAATACAAATAATAAAAGTGGGTCTTTCTGAGAGGGAGTTCTTGTGCCAGGAGTGATGAAGCTTTATACCCGAGACAGGATTTATAGAACCGTGGTGTGGGGTGGAAGTGACCTTAAAGCTCATCCAGCTCCAACCCCTGCCACGGGCAGGGACCCCTTCCACTGGAGCAGTTTACTCCAAGCCTCTGTGTCCAACCCGGCCTTGAGCACTGCCAGGGATGGGGCGGCCACAGCTTCTCTGGGCACCCTGTGCCAGCGCCTCAGCACCCTCCCAGGGAAGAGCTTCTGCCTAAGAGCTCATCTCAGTCTCCCCTCTGGCAGGTTCAAGCCATTCCCCTTGGCCTGTCCCTACATCCCTTGTCCAAAGCCCCTCTCCAGGTTTCCTGCAGCCCCTTCAGGCACTGGAGCTGCTCTCAGGTCTCCCCTTCAGGAGCCTTCTCTTCTCCAGGCTGCCCCAGCCCAGCTCTCTCAGCCTGGCTCCAGAGCAGAGCTGCTCCAGCCCTCGCAGCATCTCCGTGGCCTCCTCTGGCCTCGCTCCCGCAGCCCCACGTCCTTCCCCCGGGCCCGCCAGCCCCGCACTCAGCGCTGCGGGACCCGGACCCGGGCCAGGGGGAACCCCCGGGACCGCTCCGTAGGGCACCGCCGGCACCGCCGGGCCCTCCGCGCCTCCGGCCCCGGTGCACGTGGGCAGCGCGCTCCATGACGTCACTGCGCGGCGCCGCCCGAAGGTCACACGCTGCGCTGGAAGATGGCGGCGGCGGCGGCCGGCGGCTGTCGGGTGAGAGCAGGGCCGGGACCGGGACCGCGACCGGGACCGCGACCGGGACCGCCTCCGCCGGGGGCTCGGTCCGGCTCCGCTGATGGCCGAGGGGCGGCGGGAGGCAGCGCTGGGCCGCGGTACCGAGCCGGGGATGCCGTGAGGGGGAGCGCGGGGCTGAGCGCGCTGGGCCGCGCGGGGAGTGCTCGGCGCGGCCGGTGCCGAGGTGCGGGTACCGGTTACCGGTTACCGGCTCCCTTCCCGCCCCGGAGCTGCTTCTCGGGCCCTGCCCGGGGCTCTGTGAGGGCTGCGGCGCGGGTGGAACCGGGCCGTGGCTCCTCTGTCGCCGTTCAGCGCAGGGCGAGCCCAGGCCGCTGCAGCCCGGCTCTACCGGGCTCTTGCCAAGCTTGAATGTACACAAGTGTGGCCCCGGTGTTGAGGTGAATGCAGAGGTTGCGGCTTTAAAACCCGCTGTGTGGTGCCATGGGCAGTGCAGGTGGTTGGTGTTTTCTGCCCAAAGTTTAAACTTCAGCAGGGGAGACTGAGAGGAGCTCTGAGGCAGAAGCTCTGCCCTGTGAGGGTGCTGAGGCGCTGGCACAGGGTGTCCAGGGGAGCTGTGGCTGCCCCATTCCTGGCAGTGCTCAGGGGCAGGACACGGGCTTGGAGCAAGCTGCTCCGGTGGAAGGGGTCCCTGCTCTGGCAGGGGTTGGAGCTGGAGGAGCTTTAGGGTCCCTCCTAACCCAACCCAGGCTGGGATGCTGTGATTTTACAATCAGCCTCCAGTGTTTCTTGGCAGCACTTGGGATGTTTTCCCAGAAGCACACTCAATGCTGTCTGTTTGCGGTGTTCTTTCTTTTCTTTTTGGGCTCTTCTGGGTTTCTGTCCTCTTGTATTGTACACCAAACCTTACCTTTTTGTTGCAGAAATGTCTCGTCAACGGCATGTGGCTGATATCCAGAAGATACCCAGTTCCTGCAGTCCCCAGGGGTACAGTGTATGGCATGAGCCCGCCTGGTTTAGAGACCCATCAGGTTGGTTAACAGCCGACTTCTTCTTATTTCAGGTCAAAAGTGCTTTCTCATCAGAGCACTGATCTGCTCGATCGGGATGGATCTCTGAGAAGCACCAGCTGTAGGTGGAAAGTTTCTACTTGTTAAGATGTATTTGATCAAGTGTTGGACATTGGCTCTTTTGAAGTTAAGCTGCTGCTTTTTCAAGGTGGCTTTGTATTCCCCACAACATTTACTCTGTTAGAAGTGACTCAGTGCTTGGCTTAAGTAAATCTACCTACTGGCTTTGACTCCTGTCTGATTTAATGTCTTGTTGGATCCTACAACATGGAATGCTTTTCTTTAGTCTAGATGTTACTCTTCGGGAGGAAGAAAGGGTTTTATATCAGGCTTTGTGGAGAACATCAAACAGGAATTAGCGAAAAACAAGGAGATGAAAGAAAGCATTAAGAAATTCCGAGATGAAGCTAAAAAGCTGGAAGAATCTGATGCTCTTCGAGAAGCGAGGAGGAAATATGTAAGTCAGGAATCCCTTTGGTGCTTTCATTGCCCACTCACTGAGCTGTTACCATTGTGAATGTAGATTTGAATCTTTGTGCAGATGACCTGAATTCAGCATGTCTGTTCTCATGGGAAGTTCTGCTTGGCTGGAAATACTGGCATTGAGTGGAAAATCTTTCCAGCAGCCCCTTCACTGGACTTCCCAAATAATGAGCAGATGAAAGAACAAGGCATTAGAATTTAAACCCTTATTTTGCAGTCTTTGAAGAGCTATAAACAGCACAAGTTGCATAAATGCCCCTCTGATGGTAGTTCCTCAAGGAGGATGCTCCCTATGGTGGAGCCCTTTTGCTCTCAGTGGCAGCATTAAGGGGCTGTGCTGTGTGCTAAACTGGGCTTGAGTGTTTTCCCTTCTCAGTTACCTGCAGCATGTTTTTTTTTCCCCCCACAGAAAACCATTGAATCTGAAACAGTGAAGACCTCAGAAGTGATTAAAAAGAAACTTGGAGAAATAACTGGGACAGTGAAAGAGGTAAAAGGCAGCTGTGGAAGAAGCCGGTCCCCACGTTCTGCTCTGCTCCTTCACTCTCCATCTGTGTAAATGTGCTTTGGTGTGGCTTAGCTGCGTGTAGTTACGAGCTGGACATAAAGCTCTTTGCTGAGGGGGACATAACTGGTATCTTTTCAGTGCTGTTGAAGGTGCTGTGAGCATCTTCATCAGCCAAATGCCGTTGATAACCAGGGAAAACCATTTGGTACTGGCACCCTGTCATTTCTCTTCCTCTGAAGCTGTGGCTTGTGAGCCATCCAGGGTTGGTTGCCTGTTGCTGGTGACAGTTCCAGGATCCCTGAGGATCTGATGTGTGCCAGTGCAGAACAAAAGGGCGACCAGCTGCTGGCAGAGTCCTTTTAACGTCTTGCATACAAGGTCCTGGCTCTCTAAAAACAGCTGAAGTGATGGGTATGAAGGTGTGGGATTGAGAAGAGTGTTTCCTGATTGTGCAGCAAGAGTTGCATAGCAGAGAGCCATCTCCACTGCTCCTGTACCTGCTCTGAAGAAGCAGATTGTTTCAAGGGGGAGGGCTTGGCTATCTAAATGCTGGCATCATCGGTCCTTCTTGCTGATATCAAGGGAAAAAAGAGTTAAAACCTCTGGGTAGCAGCTATTACAGATGTGTGTGGTCCCATGAGCAGCCCAGTCTGTTCTGCAAAGAGGTGTTGGACAATGCTGCAGTGCCAAGCCATAGTGTCCCAGCCAGTCTCCCCTGTGACATGTAGCTGTGTGCTCACCTTAGGTTGGGTTAGTTTCGTCCTGTGTGAATGCTAAAGACCTCCTCATGCCAAAGAGGAGTTACTCAGTATCAGTTTCCAGCAGTTTCACCTGACCTCAGCTTTTCTTTCATGTTGTGTTTTCTTGCAGAGTTTGGATGAAGTCAGTAGGAGTGATATTGGCCGGAAGATAAAGGAAGGTGTGGAAGGAGCAGCAAAAACAGCAAAGCAGTCTGCAGAGTCAGTGACAAAAGGAGGGGAGAAATTGGGCAGGACAGCAGCCTTCAAAGCTATTTCTCAGGTACCTGTCAGCTGTAAGGTTTGACTGTGTCCAGAGCTGCGTGGTGACCTCAGAGCAGCCTTCTGGTATCTGAAGGGGGCTACAAGGATGCTGGAGGGGACTCGTCATCAGGGTCTGTAGCGATGGGACAAGGGGTGATGGGTTTAAACTGAAACAGGGCATGTTCAGGTTAGATCTTAGGCAGAAGCTCTTCCCTGTGAGGGTGCTGAGGCGCTGGCACAGGGTGCCCAGAGAAGCTGTGGCTGCCCCATCCCTGGCAGTGTTGAAGGCCAGGTTGGACACAGGGGCTTGGAGCAAGCTGCTCCAGTGGAAGGGGTCTCTGCCATGGTAGGGAGTTGGAGCTGAATGAGCTTTAAGGTCCTTTCCAATCCAAACCATTCTATGATTCTACTATATGGGACTCTTTTCTTCAGGTAGATCCAATACAGCCATCCAGTTGGTGTTCTAGACTGTTGACTTCTTAAGCAGAAGGCCTTGGTACTGGTGTGCATGCCAGTAGACATCAGCAGAGAAGCATTTGGTGACTAAGGGAGAGGAGAATAACCTGTGGCCTCTTTATGTATTTATTTCTTCCTTCAGCAGAAGTGCTTTTCAGTTTCTGGGGAATGGGGGGAAACAGTAAATGAACCTAACGGGGATGTTGTCCTTTCAGGGAGTAGAAACAGTCAAGAAGGAGATAGATGAAAGTGTCTTAGGACAGACCGGTCCTTACAAACGTCCGGAGCGCCTACGGAAAAGAACAGAGTTCTCAGGAGAGAGTATTAAAGAGGAGCGAATATTTGAGGCTAATGAGTAAGTATGGGGTGGCATTTAGGGTGATACAGGAGGGCTGTGGGGTGAGGCCTGACCTGGCAGCACAGGTAGGTCTAAGAGCAGATTTCCCTCAGAAGCTGCTGATACTGAACCTTGCAATAGCAAAACTGGGCACATAAAATGCTAAAGTGGGTGGACAAGGTTCTGATGTGAACTCCTGACTGGCCTGTGTGTCCTCTTTCCTAACATCTTGCTGTTGAATTACGTTTGGCAGCACTAAGTCTGAGCTCCTTTGCTTCCTCTGCTGCCTCGCCACGCTAAGCCATGTTTCTGTGGTGTGTCAGCTTCAGTGATGCTGCATTGATACTCCTCAGGATGTTCTCCTTATTCGCACTCAGTTGTATGTTACTTGCTCACAAGCACCCCTGTCGTGTGTCCTTTCTAGGGAGGCCATGGGTGTGGTGCTGCACAAAGACTCAAAATGGTATCAGCAGTGGAAAGATTTCAAGGACAACAACGTGGTCTTCAATAGTAAGTGTTCCAAAGACAACGGAAAAGCACCTTACTTTCCCAGTTGTGATTCTTGCAGGGTTGGATCTCGTGCCATCTGTGCAACCGGGCTCAACGTGATGCTCCATCTATGTTCAGGCCCCTCTTCAGTCAGGGGTTGGTTTTGATCAGTCCCTGCTCCCTGCAGGTACCACATCCTGCTTTCAGAGCTGCTTAAAGAGCTGAACTCTCTTCTGTTTTCCATTGTTTTCTAGTCAGATTTCCTCTGGCACTGGGAAGAGGCCAGGGCACTCATGCATGCACATCAGCAGGGAGAGGGCAGGTTGCTTCTTCCTGACCTTGCGCTTGGGATGAGGAAAGATCTTGAATTGAGTGAGCTGGTTTCTGGAACCTGTGGAACTTTGCCTTCTGCCTGGTTTTAATGCAAACCCTGAACTTAGTGAATGTTCTTCCCTGTGAGAGGGGCCAGGCCCTGGCACAGGGTGCCCAGAGAAGCTGTGGCTGCCCCATCCCTGGCAGTGTTCAAGCCAGGTTGGACAGGGCTTGGAGCAGCTTGCTCTAGTAGAGGGTGTTGGAACTGGATGAGCTTTAAGGTTCCAACACAAATCATGCCGTGATTTTGTGATCTATTCTTGACGTGCAGCCCCAGTTAAACTTTCTGGTGTTGGTTCCACATCTTGCTACCCCTTGTAGCAGACTGAATCAAGGCTGTAAGGAGGCTGTTACTGCTGTAAGCAAATCTGGTGTATTTTCTACCTGGAAATCTGAATAGAAGCCCCAGAGTTTCTGGCAGCTGCAGTCAGAGAAAGCATCATTCTCCTCATTACAATTATTGGTAGTTAAGAACAGTGCAGGAAGATGAGGAGAAAAGAAACTTTTGGAGTGGATAGCTGTTAATCACTGAAGTGATTTAGAAGGGAAGCAGCAGGTTTGCTCTGCAGTCCACTGCATGTTGTTTCTCAGTGGAAGGACATTGCTGCTCACAGCTCCTCTCCTTCCAGGGTTCTTTGAGATGAAGATGAAGTATGATGAGAGTGATAACGCATTCATTCGAGCTTCCAGAGCCGTCACAGACAAAGTCACGGACTTAATAGGTAACGTTTCACCCTTGCTCTGGAAGAGCATCACTGGCCTCAGCTCTGCTCTGGTGCCTGCTACTGCTGTTGTCCTCCACGTGTTCCTAAGGCCAGGTTGGACACAGGGGCTTGGAGCAAGCTGCTCTATGGAAGGTGTCCCTGCCCGTGGCAGGGGTTGGAACTGGATGAGCTTTAAGGCCCCTTCCAACACAAACCATACCACAATTCCATGATTCTGGAGCTTTACAGCATTTGGCATGGATCATTACCCAGTATCATGTAGTGGCAGGCTGCTGCTGGATCAGACGTGCAGTGCCGTGACAAGTGCTTGCATGGGATAAAGCTGAAGCTTACCTTTAAACCGCAGATGGTCCCAAGTGCCTCCTCCTTCCCTCTGTTGTCTCCCCAAACGTCTTTTCCTTGTTCCCTGTGGCAGTTGTTGTGCCACCGGTCTCACTGAGTTGTTTTTCAGGTGGATTGTTCTCGAAGACAGAAATGTCGGAGGTTTTAACAGAGATACTCAAAGTGGATCCATCCTTTGACAAAGACCGGTTCTTAAAGCAGTGCGAGTTTGATATAATCCCCAATGTCCTGGAGGTGAGGAGGGGCTGCAGTGTGATGCATGGCAGGGGGTTGGAACTGGATGATCTTAAGGTCCTTTCCAACCCAAACCATTCTGGGAATGAACAGCACTGGGCAAATGGTGCTATCAGATATTGATAAGGGAAGGAATTTGGTGTGTAGGTACTACTGGAGTCTAAGTGGTCTGTGACTGCTTGCAAAGAGGAGCTCATGAGAAATGGTCCTAGTCAAGGAAGGTCTGTGGAACTTCATGTTTTTTAAGGACCACTCAGGACAGCACTGCTGAAGGCTGTGACTTCAGGTGTAATGGATATAGTTCCTCTCACTGTAACAGTCCGTGAGGAAAGACAGAGTGAAAGCAGTGGAATTGAAGTACAGCAGAAATTGGCTGGGATTTGTATGAGACTGGAAAATCTGAGGCTTGAAGAGAGGAGGAAGCTAAGAGAGAGCAAAGTGTGATCTTCTCATCCTAAAACAGTGCAGGGAATGATTTGTCTCACTTAATACATGCTGACACACCTGTAGAAGTGTTCAGAATGCTTCTAGTCATGAGGCAGCATTATAGGATGAGCTGAAAGGAAAAACATTCCTATTTTATTCCATTTCCTCTTTCAGTCTATGATGTCTGGAGAGCTTGATATCCTCAAAGATTGGTGCTATGAAGCGGTGAGTAGAGCTACTCAGACTGTCTGGAAAGGTGATGATTCTCCCTTATAAGTAGGTGTATTGTGCCACCTTTGCTTGCAAGCTGTTGGATCTGTGATGTTGCTTACCTGCTTTGCCCACCTGCTTCCCCAGGGAACATACTAGAAAACACTAATGCAGTCAAGTATATGGGCAGGAGTTCTGGAATAGTCTGGCTGTGAGCTGAAGAGTGGGGGTTTTAGTGAGCCTTTGGTTCTGTGAAGGCCAGAGCATCTGCTGTAGCTGTTTGATGCTTGGCAAAACCTCTGTGTTCAGCCTATCTGCAAAACCCTGACTTTCCTTGTCATTGCTGGTGGTTCTCTCTAAGCAGAAAATCCCTTTTTCTTCGTGACAGAACAAATCCAAACGTGTAACACAAGTTTGTTGCTTCATTTAGACTTACAGTCAGCTTGCTCATCCCATCCAGCAAGCCAAAGCCATGGGGCTCCAGTTCCACTCCAGGATTCTGGACATTGACAACATTGATGTGAGTGCCCTTTCCTGTGTTTCACTTTAGAGAGGATGAATTAGAAACTCATGACCTGAGGAGGGCTTTTCTTCTTTGCTCTGACTTAAGTTGGAGGTAGTTACTGGCTGGGCTACCCCAAAAGGTAACTCCAGAGTTCCTGAAGAACAACATCCTCTGGAGCATTCTGCATCCCCACAAAGAGAGGCAGGAAGAGACCTGTATGTTATCAGAGCACAGCTTTGGGAAACAAACCTCAGTTCTTCATTCCTCTCTGCACTGCAGTTAAGAAGCTCTTTAAATACCGAATGGAGTGACATTAGTATTGAGGAGAAGGTCTAACCTGATTGGAATACCCAGGTGCAGCTCTGGAGAGGGTGGGATTGTCAGCATTAGCTATGTCAGGCCAGAGCAGTGGTGTTAAATACTTGATGTTCATACCCTAATCTGCAGGAATTGTTTCCTGATGGGATTTTCTTCCATTGCAGCTGGCCATGGGGAAGATGATGGAGCAGGGACCAGTTTTAATCATCACTTTCCAGGCTCAGGTCGTGCTGGTAATTAAGAACCAGAAAGGGGAAGTGGTGGAAGGTGACCCGGTAAGGAATGCTCTCAGCTGGAGGTGCTTTCTCTCTTAGTCCCTTGTTAATCATCCTGGGTGTTAGGATTCATCTTGGTGCATCTGGAGCAGGGGTGTCACACATACTGCATTGACTGGTAGGAATAATACTGTACCTTGTGGGTTAGGTCCTTGGTGCAGCTCAGTGTGGGCTGTTTCTTCCTGTCAGACTCTCAAAGTGTTAAACCCCATTAACTGAGCATTAAGTAGCTCCCTGCCTGTAGTTATCACCATGAGTTCTGCTCCTCTGGGACAGAACTGAACTCTCCTGCTGTACACTGAAACTCCATCCCAGAGCTTCTACCTGATCCTGGTCTGTTCTTCCTTTCACAAAGGGTGCTGTAAGAGGAGAGCACAAAGATGCTTGGCAGACAGGGTGGGAGCTGGAGTCAGCTCATTTGCAGGGGATGGAGGAAATGACTGGCTTAATACATGCATTTAATAAAGACTTGGCTTTTTGCAACCACTGTCTCTAGTCCAGGCTCTAAGGGATTGGAACGGGATGATCTTAAGGTCCTTTCCAACCCAAACTATTCTGTGATTCTAAGTTGGAAACCTTCCTTCTGAGTTTGGAAATCAAAGGTTTATCTGTTCCTGGCTGTAACATGTTTCCAGCTGCTGTCCTTACTCAGCACCTTCAGGCTTAGAACCAGAGAGTGAACTCCTGAGGGCAGTCTCTGGAGGAGGTTGGAGCCTGTCCCCATTGGGTGAGGTCTCTGAGCATCCCGCAGGCTCTAACAGCAGGATTTCCCTTCCAGGACAAGGTGCTGCGGATGCTGTACGTGTGGGCACTCTGCAGAGACCAGGACGAGCTCAACCCCTACGCTGCATGGAGGCTACTGGACATTTCCTCATCGAGCACTGAGCAGGTTCTCTGAGGACAGTTGCAACCCAGGGGCTTCCTGTACCTCTCTGGAAGTGGCTCCATCTCTGCCCTCGCACCTGGCTGCTGTGGGATGGACTGTGGATGAGGGAAAGAGGCTGGACTGGTTCCTTTGGCAAGAGGGGGCTGTTCCGTGTGCCCTCATTGTGGCAATCCCAGTCATGAACTGGACGAGTACCTGCCTTCTGCTTTGCTGTGGCACTGTAAGGGTGTAGGGAGATTGCCAGTGAAAGGTCTGAGACACGAGCAGCTGCTGTTGGCTCCTTTTTTAATCGTGGCTGAAGGAGGCTGGTTGTCTCCTGTGTGTTTCCCAGTGCTTCCAGTGCTGCACAGAGGTGGGTATTGGAGAGTGAGACGTGCCAGGTCTGATTCCCATCTGCTGTCATCCTCTGGTGGCCTCAAAGCATCCCCCAGAAGATCTCAGAGGTGCTTTTAAGGCACATTGGTCTTGGCTGACTCTTGTGGAGTCACACCAAGAAGCCTTCTGTTGCTGCAGTGTCTTGCACTTTACCAAACCAAATACAAACAAGTTTGCATGTAATGCTCTTGGTGTGGAGGGGTTTGGCATCAACAGGCAGGTTCTTGAGGCTGGTTGCAGCGATACCATCCATACAGCCACAGCTTTGCACTGGGAACGTTGGTTTGGGTGCTGTGTTCGTTGTGTCCACTGGTACCACTAAGGAGTGCACAACTGCCTTTCTGTGCTGGGTTAATGTGATAGTGTGGGGGGGGACAGGCTGTAACTAGGAGGGGGCAGCAGGCAGGGTGCTAGGATGGTGCTCAGGGGCGGGGATGGACAGAGCAGCAACACAGGAGTCAATAAAATGCAGCATCAGGTAGAACATCACCTCTGGAGCTCAGGTATTTATTCCATGGGATGAGAACAGGGTGTGAGCCACACATCTCCTGTGTGAAGTGGCTCCTGAGCGTGGCTGTTGTCACCAGGGGGACTCGTGCTTCATGGGGACAGCACCCCCTTGGTGGCAATGGGAAGGTGTTGGGGGATGAGCTGCTGGTACCCTCACAGGAGACTCTGGGTTTGGGAGCTGTGATGTGGATCAGTTCCTCAACTGCCTCCTTATGGGAAGCGTGGTTGCATGGGGAGAATATTGTTGGGGGAATAGGGAGTCAAAGGAGTGACCTGCTGCTGTGGTCTGCCCCTGCACAGACCAGGGGGATGCAGGTCAGCACTTCCTTGCCATTAAAGAGAATCATTCCCAGTTCTTCCTTCTCTTCCGGGTGTCCAGATCAGTTCCTTTGAAGTGGAACCTCATTTTGCTTCTAGCTCTTGGCATAATGAATTCTCTTGGGGCTAATGTTTTATTTATTGTAAATCACAAGCAGCAAACTCCTGGCAGGTCCAGTTTGGAGAGAGGAGCAGGAGGAGGATTTTCCATTGGTCTGGAATACTGCTCAGTGAGCTGGAGGTCGGGCTCTTCATTTCCCAGTAGCACCAGGTAGGCCTGGGCTTGCTGGCCTGCTCAAAGGCATTGCTGTGTGTGTGGAGGGGTCTTGGCTGGTGCTGTGGAAGCTTCCAGAGCTTCTCCTATGGCTGCGGGTCTGTCCTGGCTCCCCCAGGGAAGGGGCAGGGCATCCCCCACCATTTCCTTCCCCACTGGTGGTGCCTCGGTGCCCTTCAGCAGCTCAGATGTGGGGCTCAAGAGGGGCTTTGGCACCTCCCGTACCATTTCCTGGTGGTGTCCTGTGTTCCCTCCCTGCCCACACAGGCATGCACTCATTAAATCTCTAACACCCCCCATTCCCTAAACTCTGCTTCCCCACACCTCTATGGTGTTAAGGGGCCTGGGGTACCCTCAGAGGCTGAGTGCAAGTGCTATTATAGTCATTTTGAGGGCGAAAATGAGCAGTTTGGTTCAGCAGAGCCATATGGGGACCCAGCTCCATCTGCACCTCTTTGTGCCACGTGGTCGATGCAGCTGTGCCCATTGCCTGTGCTGCATTGTCTGGGGCACACAGAAGTGCTGCAGTGTCACTAACCCCCCCTCAAGCAGTGCTGTGGGGTCCTTCAGTCTCCTGATAGGAAACAAGCAGCTGCAGATCCCCCTTGGAAGGGGACTGCTGTTCCCTGGCTGGATCCTGCTCAACATCCCATCACGGGATGCTGGGGCTGTTGGCCCTTTACAGGCCCCCAGGGGCTGGGTTAGAACATCCCCTCCTTGTACCGGGAGGATCTGGCACTACCAAAGCCATCGTGGTAGGAAGAGGCCTCTCGTTGCTGCTCTGAGCACTGTGTGGTGTGGGGGAGTCAGGACAACTGCTGCTGGGAACCGGAGGCCAAAGATCCCTCCTGGCCTCCATCCTGGTGACTTCAGAGCTGGGTCTGCGCTGGTGAGGCCGCAGCACAACGTGGGGCAGGCACCGGGTGTGAAAGCAGCCACACTGCTACGAACGTCACAGCTTTATTTCCTTTCAGAGCCTGCACGCACCATCCCAACGCCTCCTCTTGACTCCAGGCCATGGGAAAGGGGCCTCCTCAGCCCTATCTGTAGGAATTGGCTTTGTGCTTAGGCAGGAAGGTGAAGCTGGGGGGCACGGGGCCCAGCAGCAGCTCGCTGGAAGACAAGAGTGCAAGAGAGAGCAGGTGAGGTTTGTGGTCAGTGCAAGAGGCACCGGTACCCTGGGGGCTCTGCAGCGATGGCGAGCGCAGCCACAGGGGTCAAATGAACCTGGAAATCACCCCCAGCCTCTGAGAAGCTCCTCCCCACCCCTCACTGTGCTCGTGCAGAGCCAAACCCCTCGTAGTGCCAAAAAGCATTGGAGGGCAGATCCTACGATGATGAAAAGCAGTTCTCCCACACTCAGATTTAGCCTGGCTTAAGACTAACAACTGTTTCACACGTTGCCTTTTCAGTGCAGTCATTTGCTTTATAGTCCAGGAGGTTTAACTTATTTCCTGGATGCTTCAGCATCACTAAAGCTTTCCATAAGCCATGTCAGAGTATCCCAGCAGGGCACAGAATTGCACAGCAAGAGCCTCAATCTCCAGCGCAAAAGCAGAGCTAGAGAGCCCTGCTTCTAGTTAGTGTCTCCTTAAAATGAGCTTAAATGAATAAACCTCAACTGCTCTAAAATGTTGAGTTCTGGCTATAAATGGCACTGCAGAGACCAGAGGGGACGCTGAGCAGCCTCACGTGGGCAGGTTCTGCTTGGAAAACGGCATTTAGAAGTGCTGATCAAAACTCGCTGTGCTCGTAACGTGGCTTTAGGCAGCTGGTCCCAGTGCTAAGAGAACGGATGAGGATCAGCAAAGCCACAGAAGGCTGTAGCCAAGCTCTGGTTTTGCTCATCTCTGTTTCCATGAGCTGGGGAACAGCAGCTGCCTGCTCCAGCTCTCATTTTTGAGCCTGCAAAGACAGCTCAAGCCAGTGCCTGAGGACTTGGGGAAAACCAGTTTCCTGCTCTCTGCTGCATGGACTCAGATCTCAGCTCATGGAAAAGGGGGGACGTGCTCAGCTCTCCCAGCCTGGGGATGGGAACAGGATGCGGGCCTGGCAGGGCAGGGCTGTCCAGACAGCACACAGGGATCTGATGCTGAAAGCCTGAGACACCCCATGGTTGTGCTTCCTCCCTTGGTTCCTCCGTGTGTCCTGGGATGAACAACGCGGCATGAGAGCGCTCAGCGAGAGGCACTGCAGGACCTGCTGAAGCTGATGCAGGCACTGGGAGAGCTCTTCATGACAGCTCCAAACTCAGCTCAAACCCTGAAGTAAAGCCCTGGTTGCCCCTCGCTGCTTCCTAACCACCCCTCTGGAGGATGCACGAAGTCACTGCAGGGCTCTGGGATGTCCCTTGTAGGAACTGAAATGAGCTTCAGCGCTTTCTGACCTTATTCTGATCCAGTCATCCACGTTCTGGCTCGCCATCAGTGTCTCCAGGTAGTCTCTCCCCATGTAGTAGGGCGGCCGCTCATTAATCTTCTGAGGTAGGAATTCCAGCAAGCCAACGGGAATGTACCTGCAATGGGACGCAATGCAATGGCAGCGTGTGCTGTGCGCAGGAGGGCACGGGCTTCCCTCTCAGCTGGGAGGCATCACCTGCACAGGAACGAGAGCCATTCCAGCAGGAACTTCCTGGTCTTCTCCACTCCCTGAGTATCGGAGCCCCAGTGCTCGAGGCCGTAGTTGGTGAAGTCTCTGAGGAGCTCGAATCTCTCGCTGGAGGAGATATCCCAGTGCCTCTGTTCCTTGATTTCAGTGAAAAGCCACGGCTTGATGAGTGCCCCTCTGCAGCCAAAACCCAAGGGGCATCGTTATTGCCATGGCCGATGCTTCTGAAGATGCCAACTCATTTAAGAGACTTCCCAGCACTTCTCTGCCAGCCCAGTTCCCCGTTTCAAACGGGAAGCTGCTGGATGCTCCCCCAGATGGGAACAGCTTTAACCCATTTCCACAGAGGACTTTCACCAGGAGGGAATTTCTCACGGTTTGGGCTTATAGAAGGATCTTTTTCTCCATCCTTTTTGGACTCCTGCAGCAATAGCAAAGGGGAAACCCAGGCACTTGCCTTGCAATCATGATTCCCGAGACTCCCGTCTGCATGGCTCGATTCGCATCTTCGTAAGACAGAATATCACCATTCCCTGTCCAGAAGGAAGGGAGAAGCCAGCGGTCAAAGTGATGTTAATCCAGGCATGGGATAAAGCTCAGAATGGACACAGGGGCCAAGCGCCAGATTGCCCAAAGAGGCTCTGGGGCTCCTGTTTCTGAATCAGAAACGCCCCACAGATGTATCCCATTCCTTTTCCTTGTAAGGGGAACGTCAGAGCCTTCTCCCCTCTTCCTCTCCCAACTCCTACCCTGAAGGTTTAGCTGGGACTGTCTGTGCCATGGTGCCCACGGGAGAAAGCATCTGCTAAAACCCACGTGGTTGGTGCCTGTTCCTTGTCCTCCTCCATCTCCTCTGCTCAGTGCTCATCACACACAGCCCCAGGCACATGGGCAGATCAGCACAAGACTCCATCGTCCTCATCACAACCACCAGGGATGCTCCAGCCTTTCCCCCAGGCCAAATGTCCTTGGGGGGGGCTGGTTTGTCCTTTTAAGATCAAACCCTCAGCACCTTCAGTCCACAAGACAACACAACAGCATCACCTACCAAACAGAGGCATGGGGCTGGCTACTTGGGCACACTCTGCTATGTAGTCCCAGTCAGCGCTCCTCGTGTAGCGCTGCTCCCTGGAGCGGCCGTGGAGCTGGGGAGGGAAGTCACAGCGAGACCTCATGGAATGCCAGGAGGAGGCAGAGAGGAAGAGGCTGGGGTAAGGGATCCCTCTGGAGCTGCAGCCCACCCCAGGAGTCAAAGGGAATATTCACTGTGGGCAGGATCTACCCATCCCCATGCACCCGAGATGGTCCCATCACTTCCCAACCCTGCCGTAAGGAGGCTTATTTGGGCAAAACCTCTGTTCCCAGAGCACTGCAAGGAACAATCTCCCCCTGTAATGGATATAAGGCTCAGGAGCATGCAGGAAGATGCTCTCTGCACCCCCATTTTAACCTGTTATTAGCAGGAAACGCTAAAAAACAGGAGGCAGCTGGTCAAAGGTGCTTGAAAGCTGTGGGGAAGGGGAAGGTCACCCCCACGCTGTGCTCTGGGACATGGAAGCAGAGCTCCCCAGGCACCACAGCAAGGGTCCCTGTACCGTGACCATGGCTGCTCCCCACTCCCGGAGCCTGGGGATGAGTTTATGAGCCACGTTAATCTTCTCCTGCACCCCCGTCCGGATCTTCACGGTCAGCGGCACATCCAGCACCTGCACCACAGCAGAATGAGGCCGGGCTGGGGCAGGGGTTGGCTCCATCAGTTCCTCTCCTGCTGCCCCCACTCACCGAGTTCATGCCCCGGATGATCTGCTCGAACTTGTTGGACCGAGTCATCAGGGCACAGCCTCCTCCCTGCGGGACACAACGCGGCACAGGCAGGACTTGCTGCCTCCTTTCGGAGGGAAGAGGCTCCTGGAGTTGCTCCATGGCAGCCCTCAGGGATGCAAGGAAGACTTGGAGATGGGGGGGACTCTTCAATTAAAAACCCACAGCCCTTTTCCCTCCCAGCTTGGGTCAGAGACAGGCAACCATCTCTGAACAGCTTCTTCGCTGAAGCCTAGGGCCCACAAATGAACTGGGAGCTCTGGATCAGATCGGGTAGTGAGGAATGAGAAAGACCAGCATCTCCTGAAGGAAGCAAACCACGCCGCAGAACATCTTCTTACCT